TTGAGTTTCTATTTTGGCCCAAAACTTACCTTTTGATTGGTTTCTACCTATTATTAGATTTTTGTAGGCTGAACTTTGGACTGTTGAAGACATTTTTAGGCATGTGATTTAGCTTACTGAATCACCTACTATTTATACACAAAATTTTTACTTCACTCAAAATGAAAGTAGATTAGACAACATACTGAAAAGCCTGATAAATATTCTTCTTAAAAGCCTGATAATATTCTTCTAAAAATACCTTTTTTTACTTATTTTATAATTAAAGTAAACCAAAAGTAGAAATGTGAGATTGAAAATAATAATGATATTTTTAAAAATGTTCATTTCCAGAAACAATAACTTTCACAAATCAAAAACATACCAAAGATGGAATTTGATCGATTGAATAAACGTTGTTCCTTAAAAACTATTTTTAAAATATTGACCATAAACAATATAAAATTAATTATCGTGAATAATTACGAAAATCAACTAGTGAAAACTTAGAAATTTTAATTGTCAACGCTTAACATTTCCAATTTGTTAATCAAAAAATTAAATGGACCTTCATTGAAAGGCTTGTAAATAAATCAGCTAGTTGATAGTTTCATAGGAATAAAGAGAAGTTCAATATAACTTTTCATCACATGTTTCCTGGTAAAGTAATAATGAATATCAATTAATTACTTGGTACGAGAGTGAAATAGTAGATTGTTGGTGATAGCTATTGCGTATGAATCGTCACAAAAAATAGGAATTTCTGAAAACAACTGATCATAATCTCAATTTCTGTTGTTGAGCCGGACACATAGTGTTGCATTTGTGAGACCAACAATTGACCATCTTTCCACTCAACAACAACTTTTAGTTATACTCTATCATGTCTATTTGAAAACCTGCAAAGTTAGAATCTAAATATCCGAATAGATCAAAACTTTAGTCTTTAGAATACTAAAGACTTATGGTGGTGGTACCTTTCAGATACTTGAAAATTCTTTTTGCAGCTTTCAAATAGGATTCTTTCAGATTAGCTTGGTAACTTGTACATAAACAACGACAAGGGTGGTGCCTGATTGGTTTGGGATTGGCTCCAAAGGTCAAAAGTACTAGGAGGTCCCAGGTCCAAATCCAAGAAGGAATAAAAATCCCCTTGTGGCCACGGAGGTTCAAATGCGGTGACTCCGGACTATCTGCAAAGCAGGTGGTCGCCCTGGAATTAGTCGGCTCGCATAGTGGGTTGGATATCCAGGTTAATTAAAAAAAAAAACTTGTACATAAACATGTGACAAAAATTATATTAATTTGGTCGACTAGTTGTTTAATGTAAAAGAGAACCAATCATTTCCCCAGTAATAATTCACTGATTTACCATACTATATGTAATTTAAGGGAAGTGAAACTGGTTTTTTTATAGTGAGCAATTCTTTAAGAAAAATTAAAAAGAAATTTGATATAATTATTTTAGTCAGATTGTTTTATCAGTAAAACAAATAAAAATGTCAGTTTATCCATCATACTTATCTTATATGGATTTTCAATAAGATTTGAAATTCTCTTTTATTTATGGAGAAAAATTAGTTGCATAAAAGATAATGTCGTCTACATGAATCTATATAAGGTACTAAGGTAGACATCACCTTTGTTTTTTTCAAAAAAGAGGGTGTTGTCAATTTTACCATTGGAGAAGTTATTTATCCAAAAAAGGTAGAAAGGGTAGCGTACCATGCACAAAGAGTTTATTTGAGATCAAGTGTTTTTCAATCCTGTTGTAGCTTTCATGAAGACTTTCATTAACTTAATGAATTATCCTACTTATATTAGGATATATATATATATATATATATAAGGGAGAATTGACTAGTTTGTGGTAACCGTGAGATGCAATCTCAACCACAAATCAATAGATAAATTAAAAAATTTATAATTTTGGTAATTTTGAATTAAAATTTTAATGCAAGGACATTTTAGGTATTTTTTCTTCTCTCTTCTCTCTCCGGCCACCGTCTTCCGACCACCATCCTCCGGTGATACCACTGTGATACCTAAAAATATTGATTCCGTTAAAACAAAAGACATAGTGTGATACCAAAACACATATAATATGCATTGTGATACCACTGTGTTACATCTCCGATCGACCACACAAACGACCTCAGTGTGATACCCAAACACATATAAGATGCATTGTGATACCACTGTGGTATCACCGGAGGACGGGGGACGGAGAGAGAAGAGATGAGAGAGGTGAATTTTAAAATAACTAAATGTCCTTGCAATATATATATATATATATATATATATATATATATATTGGGGTCATCCAAGGGAGAACTGATTAGTTTGTGTTAACTGTGAGATTCAATGTGAACCACTCGTTTGAGATATTTAAGAATATCTCTTAAATAAGCTAAAAGAGTAATATATTAATTCTATTTTTGATAACCAATCAAAATATTTAATTAAATTTTTTTGAAGGAAAAATTTAATTAATTTACCTAGTATATCAATTACCTAATATACATCGTATCTTAAATACGTTTGTGAATCAAAGTGTATCATAGTGATAATGTTCACAACGTTTCACATGTATCACAATGTATTTTCTCTTGTTTTATGAAATGTATCATAGTGTGCATTTTTGTTATTTTCATTGTTTTGCAAAGGGTATCACATTATGCATCTTGTATGTATATCTGGGTATCACAGTGAATATCGTTTGTAGGTATTACAGTATGTATCTTGTGTTTACATAAGGTTCATCAGAATAAGTTTAGTCGAATAAGATTTGCCAAAGAGAGGAAAGAGGATAGATGAGAGAGAATATTTATAAAATCCATAAAATTCTCTTAATTAATATTTTAAGTTAAAATTACCAAAATTATTAATTTTCTAATTTAACTTCTGATTTTAGTTGAGATTGGATCTCTCGGTTACCACAAACAAAATAGTTCTCATTTGATTAAGCCTCAATATATATTTATATATATAGACTTGCACTACCAAAACACCCCCTTTTTCCGGCGGCCAAATCCGCTGGAAATCCGCCGGAAAAAGGAAATTCCGGCGGATTTGGCCGCCGGAAAAAGGGGCGCCGGTGATTTTTTTTCTGGCGGTTTTTCCGGCGGATTACGGCCGCCGGAAAATTTCCGCCCGTTTTTTAAAAAATCTTGATTAACTTAAAAAATAATTAAAAAAAATTTTGAAAAAAATTCCGGCGGAAAATTCCGCCGGAAATCCGCCGGAAACTTGTCTCGCCGGAATATATTTTTGGAAAAGAAAATAATATTTTAAAAAAAAAGAATTAATTTTTTAAAAAAAATATCGGCGGATAAATCCGCCGGAAATCCGCCGGAATAATATATATGAAATATTTTCTTTAAAGAATTAATATTTTAAAAA